AAACTGATGATGGTGGAAAAATACACCGAAACGTATTTTAATTGATAAATAGAGACAATAAATGACTGAAACCCAGGAATTAATTTTGATTTGGAATAATCTTAAAGCGAATTTAAATTCAAATCAGGTGTTTTCCGCCAAATACGCCGAATCCGTATCGTCGGTTGCCTATCCCGATTGTGACGTAGCAGGTCATATCAACAAAGTGTCTCGTGCTTATTTTGTTGTTTTCGCAGCTTTGTTTTATTATTTAAGTTATTGTGATTATCATTATTTTAGTGATTATTATTATCTTTCATAATGGAAAATAGTGACATGTATGGATCACAAAATAAGTGATGTTTTGTGCCAGGATGCAAGAATACCTCAATAAGTGCTCCAAACTCTTTTTAACCGTGCCTTATGATTATGCACGTAAAGTTTCATGGTTCAAAGCAGCTAGACGTGATGTTCCTAAATCAAAATCAATGTTTTTTTGTTGCGAGGATCGTTTTAATGAAAGTACGAACAAAAAGCTAATGATGTGGCAGATAGAATATGCCTTCGATCGTACTCTGTGTTCTGGGCAAATTTTACCTCGTACAGTGCACAAAGAACCCTCGCGTTTCAATTCCACGTATCCGATATCATCATATTGTTCTCGTGATGCCCAAAATACAAATCTGCAGCCTCATCTGTATAAGTTAGGTTAAGTTGAATAAGTGAAATTTTATATATTATTTACCTAATTTAAACCAATACAGACAGTTTAGTATATTAAGGAGAGAGTAACTAATAATGAATTTACGGACTTTTACTGACGCTGCTGCTTCGAGACTCTTAAATTCGGCTGAATTAGAGCGTTCGTCGTTTTTTTTAAATTTGGTAACCATAAAAATATGTACACATGGTAAATTGTTTGTTGACGCTTTAAGGAATCCTTCTGAAGCCATTTTTCAGCTTAACACAAACTATAAATTATTTAAATCGACAAAGTTATTAATGAAACACAACCACACAACTAAACACTATGCACAGAACGTAAACAGTCCGCCATTTATATGACCAGAGACGTCACAACCAATAGGATTGCGTTTTAGAGATTCATGAATAAGTTGAATTTTAGCTGGATTTGTTTATTAAATATTTAACAAAATAGCAATAGATAGATAGTGTAAACTTATTTAATTTTTCACATATATGTATATATGTTACCATAGATTAATGTTCAGTTTGTAGGAATTTTTAATACAATGAAAATACCCGATTGTACCACAATGTACCGACCCACATTGAACTAGAACTCATCAGGTAAGTTTCGAAGGAATATTGCAAATAAATTATTGGTAAAAGCACTTTTGGCTAATTGAGTAATAATGAGAAAAACGGTTTTCTTTTGAAAACTTTCTTGAAAAAAAATGACTTACTTTCCGTCTAGCACGTCAAAATGTTCATAGCCACTAATGAGCTGCGAGCAAATATAGCACATCGACGCGCCACAAGTGCAGGTCATTTTGTTGCAACCCCTGGTTTTTATAAAGCTCTTCTTGCAACTGAAGCAAGTCCTAAAATTTTCGTATTAATCGCATGCAACTCTACGGCATAGACTCAATTACCTCGTAACCGCTTCAGTCCATTTGTCCTCAAGGAATGTCCTTATTTGTACCTCCTTGTCTAATGGAACTTCACTGCATCGTGTGGGTATATGTGATTTACGTGTGCATAGGCTAAAACAAAGGACGTTTTTCACTTTGATTTCGTTTGTATAGCGAGCAGACGGGTTTTACCGGCAGGATTCTTTGCCGCATTTAAACACACTGGCTTCTGCAAGAGGCGTCACAACGAACTCACAGAATGGACACGACACGATTAAATCTACTTCAGCTTTTTCTAATTCCTCTCTTTGAATCTTCAGCCACAATCGTCTAAACACTGCTTTCGGGAATGCCATCTGCAAATGAACAACAATATCGAAATAACTGGTTATTTCTCAGCCTTCAGATAAATCAAGATGGTTAATGTAAGTTCAGATACAAAAAAATGGTCATTATCTCATTTGTTTTTCTCTTATTTGAATTATTTGTCGCATTAAACATTTGCTCAGTCTTGTTTGAAACAGCGCAAAACAGTGAATTTTACTTTTACTAACTTAAAGTATACAAAGTGACCCGTAAGCACATGATCGCTATTGCTGGTCAAAATTCTTTTCAGAAAATGTATTGATGTAACGCTCAATTTGAGGCAGCAACTCATTTTGTTTTTGAGTTGATGCACTAATACCTTTTGGAAATTTTTGGGCTCATGACAAATTGAGAAATTCTTGGGCAAATCTTTGAAAAAATCTTGAATTATTCATAGTTTTTGCGCAAACAAAATTCCTTGCCGGTTTCCTGCTAAAAAGTTCTGGTAGTTTTTGTACTCTTTTGATGATGTGCTTGCGGAACACTCTGGCTAATTAAGTAAGCAAACATGAACTTTTAGATGAACAGAGCGTGTTTCGTGGTTTGATGCCGACCATACCTGCAAAATATGAATTTCGAATACCGAGTCGCATGCATTGCAACACGGAAATGTGGTGTGATCCTCCTTAATTCGATCCTGAAAAATGCAATAAGTAGTTTAATATTTTTAGTTGTTTTTGCTCTGGTGACTGTATTAATAGCTCACTATACCACTAGACAAAAGCACCAGGAATTTGCAAGACTTCAGATCTTGGAAAGTTAAACATTTTATCTCAAGTCTAAAGACGTAAGTCTGGAGTAAGGTAAGTTTGGAATCACCCTATCGAAAAGCTTCTGATAACTCATCGGAGATTTTTGTCAGTTTGCGAGATTTACGCTGTTTTTTTACGTTTTTACGCTGTTATTTTAGGAGCTAGGTTGAGGACTAGAGTTAAGCAACAAATCACTACCTGTGATTTTTTCACAGCGATTAATAATTAGCAATCAGAAACTGTGACGAATGACGAATAAAAATGAACTGTGGTTTCGGTGGACTGGCACTTGAGCAGCCCCTTAAATATTGATTTTTTTGCTTCTGGGTTACCTCCCAATAAAATCCCAGAAAAAATAATTTTGAAGAAAGTTTTCAGTGATTATTCATATATTTTTGCCGGTTTCCCGGAGTAAAGATTCTAAACCGGTTGCAAAGTTTAAACTGTTTTATTGGGTTTTCTTATTTTCGCTTCCTTATTTTTAATGGTTTTTAACACCAAGCTCGCGAAAGACAGCCTCGATGCGAGCTATAAAAAAAACTGTTAGATCATATCAACTGACTCGATTTTTCTGAGAAATTGGCGGTTTTACACTCAAACAGTCCCTTAAATATTGGCATATTTGCTTCTAAGTATTTTTCGAGGTTGAAACTTTTTAAGAAACTCATTTAGTAGAAAGCAAGTTTTTCATGATTATTCATACATTTTTAAAGTTCTATTAGAGAAAATTAGAGATTGTAAATCGTTAGTGCGATTTAAACTGTTTTACTGCGCTTTCCCATTTTTTCTATCTTCTTAGAGTTAGAAATTTCTGATAACAGCAAAGTAGGGAAAGACAGTGCTCAGGATGAGGCATAAAAAGGGGCTTGACGACCAACCGCATATTTTCAATAGTTTCTGAATGAATGCTGTTTTAAACTTGAAGAGTACTGTAAAAATTAGACTTTCTGTGATTAGACTTTCTGTGGCCCTGGTTGTTGAATATTTAACCCCAAAATCAGTTTCTAATTTTTAACCAATTGATGTAATTTGTTGCTGATAAACTATCGCTAACAAACGAACCTCTGCGTATTTTCTAACGCACTCTATGCAAAATGTGCAACTTTCGTTGCAGTAGAAGCACTCTTCGGACGTCAACCGTGCGTCGCAAACTCCGCAAACTTCCAGCCAGCCCAATTGGCTGCACGCGGCCCTAAACTCTTCATAGGTCTGCTTCTCATCCTCCAGGTGGGCCTTAATCAGATTCTTATGGTTCACATAGGCAACCTGCAACAGTACTAAGTTGTTCTATTCAAATTTTAGAATAGATGCAAATAGATTTGCCTCTTGCAACAACTGCAGATATTTACAATCGGGCCATTCTTCAACTGGTCGTGCTGTTTTCATACCCTTTGACACCTGATGCAGATGGCGAACTGTTTCGGTCAAATTCTTTTTCTTTCAATTCAAAAGCGTACCGAATATCTATTGGGCTCACACCGGGCTGGTTTAGTGGGTTTGCCCGATTGGGATTACTAAAATGCTTTTCCGGGTCTGGGATTTGTTCCAAGAATTCTTCCAGGGAGAGGTGCTTTTTTGACCCATTCAACCTGCTTTCCAGATGCCTACACAAAACAATGAAAGTAAATATCGTAAATAAGTGTTCAGGACTTCAATAGAACACGTCTGAGTAGACCAACCAATGCCCGGAAATTAAAAATTATGCTTTATCGAGGAGTTGCAGTTAATTTAATTTGAATTCATTTGTACACAAGAACAGAAATTTATTAAAATGCGCATAAAGTCGAAGGTATTTTTTGTTACATCTTTACTTTTAGAAAACTTCTCCAGAAAAACGCATTTGTCTGACTACTTAAAATCAAAGTTTGGGTAAATTTTTTGTTCTATTCGAAAATGAATTGAACAGTTGAACAAGCAATGAAAACGTATAGAACATGTTTTGATAAATCAGTGGTGCACGAAGATTTTATCAAAAATGTTTATTGTCATATCGAAACATGATCACTCGATAGCTATTGACATCCTCAATAGTACCAAGGATCTGAAAATATATCAAAACTATTGGATTTGAAAGCACCAGGCACAGCAATTACCTCAAATATTCGTCCTTCGTAGGGTAGTTATGGTGTCTCATAGCAATTAACGTGAATATCGATAACTGGTATCTACTCAACTTTTCAACCTTTTCTCGTAAAAAGGTTGCATCTGCCTCTAGTAGGTCATTTTGCAGCTGTTCAAATTGCGTCTCCATATCTATGGAAGCAGATGTAATTTTGAACAGTTTCAACTGAAACCATCAGCTTCAAAGTTTCAATTACCGTAGAAACTCTACAACTGATAGCTAAATATGATTTGAAAAACTTCTGGCAATTTGCAGAATGTCTGTTATACGCTAAATTCAGATTCATCTGAATTTCGAGTTGGGCAGCATCAATTTTCAAGCACGCACCAAACAATGTAACGAATCCGAATCAGCAGGAAAAAATGTGTCAAAAAAAAAGAGTGTGTATGGAAAAAAAATATTCATAGAAAAATTGAGGATTGAATCAGAAAAAATCAGTTCTGTGAAATATCTAAAGCAGCAAACACTTTAAAAACACTTTAAAATATTTTTTTAATTTATCAATGAACATGTTGATATTAACTTCCAAATTAATAAAAGTTCCAAATTAATAAAATGTAAGAGTTTCTATCAAAGAAAATACTTTGGAAAATAAAGCGCAGAAATCTAAGGAAGACTAGAAAGGCCGGTTTTTTCCCCGTCCATTTTTCTCTCCGTGTTTTCGAAGTACAGGGTGTGGAAAATTTGCATTATGATCGAACCGTTTGAATTACCAACAAGATTTTATACACAGTCATGAACAGCTACTTTTTGCACCTTTTTCAAATTACTTTAATCCAGCTTATACGCAACTGGAAAATCTAGTTTTTAGGAGCAAAGTGTGAAGTGCCAATAAAGTTCAGAAGAAGAGTTCCTTTTTCAGTTTTTTGAAAAAATCGGCAGTAGGTACCTAATACTTAACAAGTTTAAAGAACTGCAACAGCAGACATCAGATATTATAATTATTATTAACTTAATTTTGTAACAGTTTATTAGTTGTGCACGCATTAGATGGTGGGATCATGTTTCTGTGAAAGTTCTTCGAAATATATGTACAATGTTTTTCATTTGACTCCACAAGAAATCGTCAATTGGCGATAAATCCGGTGACCGGGCAGGCCAACCAGCAATTCTCCCGATTCATCATAAAAATTTATAAGCAAGGAATAATTCAACACTATATACATATATACATACTACACTATTGCGTATGCTGTTGGCTGCTTCTGAAGTGAATAGGGCAGGAAATCTTAAAAAATAAAGTCCTTTGAGGAACTAACTACACAATCCTAACTAGTTCTATGAGAAGATTATACCGAAAAAACAATAATGAAAACTGTTAACTAGACAAACAATCACTTCGCTTTCCCAAATATCGGAGACCCAAAAAATGTCTGATGTTTTAAATTGCTCCGGACTATTGTAGTAAGCGCCTTTTCGGAGCTACAAGCTAAGTAATAGGAAATTTGGAATCCTCTGTTCCAGTTCCAGTGGAGTTAGCAGGGAAACTGGTTAAGAATTTAATAAAAAAACGAAAAAATGTTGTACACTTTGACACCCTGACCCCGGAATCTATTAACTTTCGGATGAGCCAAATTTGCCAGAAACTTTTCATAGTTTGTAGTACAATATTCCCATATGTAGTCTGGGCATGCATGAGAAAATCAGTTTTGCAGCTCGTCAAAATACAAATTACAGTCTAAAAAATACCTCCTAAAGTGGAAGTGATGTTGACTTGCAACTGAATTACCTGGAAGCACAACGGGACGGGTGTCCTCATCTGGTGAAAATATAAACCTCCTCACAAAATATGTTTTCGGTCTGTAAATTACCAAAATACGTAATCAGATTAACTAAATAGATGGCAAAGTACTTTACGATAGCGAACAGTAAGCGAATCTATCCAGGGGCGGATTAAAGCTTTTGGCGGCCCGGGAACTGAAATGCACTTACGGGCAGTAAAAGGTGAGCATTTTTTGAATATTCAAGCTTTGCGGAGCCCGGGGCGACAGCCCCTGCCAGCCCCTCTGGTTGCTGGTTTACACATTAAAATATACAGCACTCTATCTGGTGATATTATTAGAATTTTCATGAAATATTGGAACCAAACTATTATTCAGGATGATTTTCGAGTTGATTTTCTAAAAATATAAGCGTTATTTCAATTTACCACAGTTTCTCAAATATCAAAACTCTTTTGGAATAGACATCTGACAGAAATTTGTAGTGCCAAATAAGATAAAATTATCAAAATTGGGGGGTTTGCAGTTGAAAAAATGGATTTTGGACGGTTTTCTCAATTTGATTTTGAAACATTTTTATAGTTTTATGAAAAACGGTTCGATAGACGGTTTGTTTAGGGTTGTTTGTTTTCAACAAAAGCTTAAAGATATACTTCATATCTCAACGGCTCTTGCATTTTTCACCTAATTCTTTGACTTACAGGCTGCTCCAAAAAATCGACTTTCCAGTCTTCAATGATAAAAGTTTTTCTATTGGAGAGATTTTCAATATCTAGAGCTAATGTTTAAACTAAAGCTTCCTATTCGAGTTAAGACAATCCAGAATGGCATGAAGGAAAATCTGATCCCAAATTTTCGTCCAAAAGAAAAAGTATTATCACTACAAAACCAAAAGTTGGTGCCTTCTAACTAACTTTTTCGTAGAAATAAATCATATCAAAAGTTTTCGTGCTAAATCGAATACTTTCTCAGCGCACAGATGATTTCATTGACCCTTTAAAACGGAAGGGGCCCAAAAATGGCTGGCTCTTCAGTCCACACGAGTCTTCTGGGTAAGTAGTAAATCTTTGGTAAGTAAATTTTACTTACCAATACTTACTTACTTCCTTTAGCTCAAATATACGCACGAATGAATATTTATTTTTAAAGGAGGAACTCAACAACTACCATCTACTTGATACGAGTAATCGACGGAATTTCCTATCAAATAATAACTAACCTGGGACGAGGTAGAATATGGTTCCGGATTCTACAGTACAGTTTCATAAACTTGCCTCTTCTCTTCATCTTGACTGAAACTTTATTATTTGTTTTTAAAACGTTTTCTAGATATGTTTTAGTAAGTAACACAAGTAAGTCATAGATAAAGACCATAGAGCATAGAACAAGGCTTATAGAGCTACTCGTCTTTATCTATGTTATAGAGTAAGTAAAATTTTTCTTTCTCTATGATAAAGACAAGTGAGGTAAGTATTGAGTCGCCACCCATCAGACGCAAAGAAAGAGATGGGTGATGGGGTAGTTTTGGTAGTAATGAGCACGAAACGAAGTAAATAGAACGATTTGCTGGATTATGTCGATATTCGCCAGAAAGAGAACAGATAGGGCGGTATATGCATATCTAAGAAAGACGTACTTAAAAGAAGCATGCCTTCCAGACGAAACAATCGTATTTAAAGTGGAGAGAGGACAGGAAAAATAAATAGGAATTGTTTGATATCAAAGAAAGATGCAAAATGAGGCAAGTCAGTAACAAGAAAGATATAATAAAATTAACATTAAAACCCCGACGTTTTAGCGGTCAACTAGATTGTAATGCCGGGATAATAAAATTTCAGTTTGCAATTGCGGCCACTGGTTTAAATTTTARTTGAAATGAAAGACATTGTTTGAAAATTTGTTTTTATTTGAACGTTTAATCAACAAAACAATAKCATATTTTTTTTTAATTCCTCGATGTTATAAAATCAGCTTGGTATGGGYATAAAAGAAAAAAATTGCACTGTTTAATTACATTAATTTTTACAGACTTGCCATTTTTACAGTGATCTCTTAGCACAATTACAGCTCTTGTAAGCKTCTAACGTCTGTAGCTTTGTAGTAAATGCAGAGGTAAATGCATTTGAAGGCATTTGCCTCTCTTGCCCCGCACACGTCACAACCAAGCTTATTGATTACGACGTCACAAACTCGGGCGAGTTTTCCCAACCTCACTCTCGTAGATATTTTATATGCTTTCGAACGGATTGTTTTATGTAGATTGAGAATATTTCTGAAAATTGATTTTGTATCTATACTCAATCGTGTTTAATATTTTCCCGTCTTATTGTAAACGCTGTTTCTTAGTACTAATTTATGTGTCTGCCTTGTCCATTCAAATAAGTTTAGTTTGCTGGATTTTAACTGTATAAAGGTAAAGCAGGTAATAAATTATTATGAAGTAAAGTCAGCGAAATGTTGTGTGCCCAAAAACAGGAACAATTACTATAAGAATGACCCATTTTGCTTGATATTTTAATTTCCGGAAAATCGCATAAAAACTCTATTTGTTATATTCGCTCAAAGGACTGCAATCCAACTCTATGAGAAAGTCTACCTCAGTCTTCAATATTGCACATATCATACATATTTTGCATCAGATTGTACAGCTATCTTATCTTATGTATAAAAAAGGCGTGTAACCTACTACCAAATAGAACCATACCACCTACATCGAAGCAAAGGCGTGCATGTGTATTTACTTAATTAATAAATATATATAATTACAACAAATTAGTTTAAAAAGTCCATAAAGCTGCCATTTTGATAAAACAACGAATGGAAAATAAATTGCAGGAGAATCTAGCACGCTATGTTGTGCAACACCGCCGTAAGAACAAGGTCCAAGCGCTTACGCGTGACGTCATCCTATGTAGCCCAGTTTATTTCCCACTACAAGGGCGTTAGTATGGATTATATTTCCTTTTCATTGTGCTAATTGGTTGATTGTTTTGCATTTTAAGTCAGTTTCGGATTACAGGTTGACTACCTGAAGAAATTGTAAAAGTCTTTTCGCTACATCTTCGAGAATTATTGGCAAATTTGACTCTAATAATGCCAAGTGATTGTTAAATTCTCATGGGTTTCTTTGGTGCTCCACTTTCAAAATCTTCTGCAACTTGGAAACCTTTTTTGGATCTGCCACCGTTTTCCAGTTAGTTTCAAGAAAAATGCGTTTATTTTTGTCAAACTCTGTTAGCTCCTTGTTTGACAGCAACATGTCTTTATAAGTGCTTACTAAAAATAAATCTTTGCAACGCTTGTATGTTAAATAAAAATAACTACAAAATATTTTACATTATATTCGACCAAAGAAGAAAACCAAATATTTGGCAAAACAAATATATTATATCCAAGTCTTACAATTAAAAGTATAAATATTGCTTGCCAATCTTGAAAAATTTTCCGCGGGCTTTCGCTCAAGCGGAAAATAAAGCTGGCGCCGCCACTGCCAACTCTGGATCAATTAGCAAATAACATGAAAAAGTCAATAAATAAAACACAACACCAACACTATTTCCTTGCACGTACCTACGTTTACCGATTAGCCACTTTTCCATTTTTATATAAATGATAGTGAACAGCGCCGCGTTTAAAAAAGGTAAGAAATTTTTCAATCATATCAAAACACACAATTTGATTGAGCTTGTATTTTATAAATATTCCTAGTTAAATGTAATAATGCTTATGAATCATCATGGAATAATGGGAAGAAATGAGTATTCCTTTAGTGTGCCGTGTACAAAAATATAGTACAGAGGGATATCTGGTCTTCCAACTGTGTTGTTGTTAATCCAAAATACCTAAGCGTTGTAAAAGTTAAAGACAATTTGTATATTTTATTACATCTAGTTCTCATCGTATTTTAAGAATAACCCATAAAACTTGAAGATGTTAGAGAACATATTTAGATTTCGACCGAATCTTGTGTGATCTTTCTTTAGTACTGCAGGATGTTTGCTCCAAACCATTAAGAACAAGAAATGAAAAGAATGCATTAAGCTAAGGATTTATAGACCAGAAAAATCCTTACCAGCTTTCTGCAAGCTGGCGCCCCATCCTCCATTTTCTGCCCAATAATCCAAACCACACGTTTAACGTCCAATCGGAATTAAAAACTTTAATCCTGCAATGTGCAGCCAGAATGAACTAACGAACTCGTATTTATACAATTTACGCTATACTTTTTATCTAAGAACGCGATTCACACGATACAATAAATACGCGACCTATTGGAAAGTCGTAATAAAAACTAGATTACTAAAAAACGGTATTTAAAAAAGTGACTTGGTCTATCTGAAAAATAACATGTGAACGAAATATGTAATGAATGGTTCCATATGAAGGGTTCAAGGCATAAGCAAATAGCTTAATTAAAAACTAAAGATAATTTTGAAAATTAACGTTGAGATATTCATAAAGTACCTTAGAAAGAGAATATTAGTGAAAGAAACAATAAACATCCTGAGACATAAACGCTTGAAAGAGAAGAAGTGGGCAATTGTTTGAAAACTAATAAGTTCAGCTCGGTTAAAACCATAATGTAAAACGACCTCAGGTCAACATCGGAATCCGATATTGGACCGTTCTACATCCTGTTCTTGAAGCCCTTGAATGTGTTTAGTGAAGGGAATTAACAGTTATGGGAAAGCTTGACATTTTAACGATCCACTTTAGATCAGAAAATATGGGAATGAGAAATCAAAACTTTAACCAAATAAAGCAGGGCTTTTTATAAGTTAAATGTGATTGCTTGCTGATATGTTCCTTTCCCTTACCTACGAACAAAGGTAGAAACAAGCCGACGAATAGTTGGAAAATAAATTTAGTTAATCGTCGGTAGGTACTACTTGCTCAATCCTGCTGATTAATCGGTATTTATAGGTGAGTGTATCTCACGAGTAACCTCTTCCACATTTTTAAATACCTACTAGTTAAACATTGATCGTGCTGTTAACTAGTGAGTTTATCTCACCGATCCTTTTGACTATAACTGAATATACCTTACTACGTATGGTTCTTATTCTAAAAAAATTATTCTGAAATCTCCGAACACTTTCGAAACACACGAAACACTTTCGTATCATCGTATAGAGTGATACATCGGACATACCTACCTAAAACTTGTATATTTTAGGAAAAATAGATGTGTAGATTCAGCGAATCTCGCGTGTTTGCGACCCTAAAAAACTTCACGAGCAATTATTGCACAATTAGCAGCAACAGTTGTGGGCGCATTTAATTTTTTTCAGCTGGCGTTTATCAGGCAATAAATTGTAATCCGTTGCGTTCCAAGCCAGTTATACGAGTACACTTGCATATGAGCAAGTTAAGCGTCTTTAAGACATAAATTCCATTACAGATGCAATGTAAGGTTGGCGCAATTTTCGTTATCGGCAGCTTTTTCTATGAGGAATACAGGGTGTCCCTGTAATCTCTATCACAGATTCACGCAGTCGAAATATTTTTATTTCGTCTGATTTGCCTATTAATTGAAAACTTGTCGATTTTTACACAACACTGACTGAGAAGTAATTTTTTTTTTGGAAACCTATTACTTATTTGCTTCAACTAATGGATGGATTTATCCAAAGACTCTTATTAGAGCGGCAAAAAATCGAAATAATTTTATCTGGCACTAATGGTTAACACTATGCCCATCTGAGAAATATCTTATTTTGCTGACAACTTTCTGTGTTTTTGGACAAAGGCCACTTTTTCATCAGTTTGCACTAAAATTCACTAATTGTTGGGCAATTTTTAGAGTTTTTTGTTGTTTGTTTACTCTGCAATGACGATGTTGGCAGGGATTCTCGAACTAAAATGACAAAGAATTTTAATGACAAAAATGACAAAGAAAGTTTATTTTTTAATTTTATTGCGTTCCACATGTTGAAAATCTGTGTTTTATGCAATAAGTGTAGCAAAATAGTAAAGAAAATTTGTCGCTTCTTTGGATGCATAAGTAAATAATTTGACCTTTGGTCCATGGGCTATAATCGACACGTCGTTGCCAACACAAAACTTTACCGAAATTGTACCAATTTGTTGTGAGAACAATATCGAAGAGTAAAGACGATGGATAATTTATTAATAATTGGCCCACTTTATTTACCAATCAATAGGGCAAAAGAGCGTAGTGCAATGAGAAATCTTGAAAGATCGCATAAAGAATGTTTGTAAATTATGATTCTGAAACTAGCTTTACTATAACGTAGGTTTTAGGGATGGTCGGTATTTAACGAACCGCTGGTTCCAAAATTGACTCGAGTAATACTTCGTCCAGATTTGCCAAACACGTATTTCTGTTTGTTGTTATTGTGGATTATTTAATGTTATTGTGGAACGAAATGGGCGAGATTACTTTCTAAAGCGGCTGCTATCATAAAGGAACGAAGAACTAGACTCAGTAAAAAGCATCTGTAAAAAAAATTATTCTTAAATGTTAATTCATTTTTGAATGAAAATGAGATTTTTAAACATTTTTGCATATAAACCGTATATTTTATTTAATAACTCGTTTTGTTGTTCTTTAAGTAGTTACTTCTGACCCATGTTCTGTTTTTTATTTTAAAATATTTTATTTTAAGTTTACCAATGTTAAGAATTATGTTTTTAGTAAAAGAAATATCATAACTATTTCTACTCTCATCATCATTGTGCATTTGAATGAAAAATTTAAAAAGGAACATGTTCCTTTTGGAACCGCATTTTGAAACCTACTACCAAGGGGAAACTGGAACGTTGTAACCCGTTACAGAAAAATAACCGTTTATCACACCTCTACTAGTGGGTATGCAATTTTTAAATGTCTCTAGTTCCTCTCCAGAGATGCCAGGTCTACCGATTTTGCGGTAGATCTACCGATTTGTCAAGGAACCTACCGATACCATGCAGATTTCTACCGAAAAGTAACAAATAAAAGTTGAAAAAAATTACGTGGATTACTTAAAATAATATAACATATTTCCATTCATGATCAAAGTACGTTGGTAATAGCAGACATTTTATTTTAGCACACCTCATATTTTAGAGTTCTTTTTCAAACATAAAATGAATCAAGCCCGCCATATAGATCATAAATATGATAAAATTATGTTTTATGGATCCTGCAATAGTGAAATCAGGTTCCCCRCAATCTATTTCTGATGTTGCAATAATATTTCCAAATTTAGTAAATGATAGTGATAAKGAAATGTTGAAGAAATTAAAAAAGTTTCTGGAAATATTGAARAGTTTTGGAGCCARGTACRAATATTGAAATATGGAGGTGATACATTCATGTTTCCAATTTTAACCAATTTTATTTGTAACCTGCTTATTCTACCTCACTCATCWGCCAATGTTGAACGGATATTTTTACAGGTTAATCTAGTGARAACKAAGTTGAGAAATAAGCTAAAAACGAGCACAATTTCATCTTTACTTCTTTACTGACTCATGCTTATTTTAGTATTCCTGTAAGTTTAAAAATTCAAGTTAGCCCTTAGTTAGTTATGGAGCCCTTTTTTTTGGTGAGGTTTTGGACTACCCAACCAGCTCTGGCCCTCAATAATGAAAGAAAAATGAGTCCACCGATTTTCTACCGAAAAGTCTCGAGCTTATCTACCGAAACTCGATTTTTGGACCTGGCAACCCTGTTCCTCTCTGTACTCAAAGTTTTCAGGGAGTGGGAAGAGAGGTTCCTACTCGCAGTACGCGCACCCGGCGCACCATTAACAAATTTGTCATTGACCGCGTTATCAGTTGGAAAGTGTACCATTCTGATAGAATTTTACACAAAATTCGGTTTTACCTTACGTTCAGGTTGTCGGTTCATTAATAATTAATTGCAGGTAAGTCAGCCGGAACAGGCCAAACAAATTCAACAATAGTACTTAGGCGCCAAAAAACACTTACAAACTTTTGAAATTTGCTGTCCCAAAACCAGTTATTTATCCACGAAAATGAGATTGTCCGATRGTATTTGAGGTGGTCCGGTCGTTTGAGTCCCTTCGAATTTTTAGTTTTTYCTTTTTTTGCCGTAAAAAACACTTAAAATTAAGCAGTTTCAGCGAAAAAACCCTGGTCATAAACTAAGCCAAAWWCKTRMAAACTTTTATTCGCTTTTCCAAAACCACTTATTTATGCACGAAAATGAGATTGTCCGATGCTATTTGCTGCTAAATCGTGTTTYAGGCATCAACGCTTCATAAATCCACATGCAAAATTGTCGCTAAGAGGCATAATAATTGTATTTTTCGCAAAGGTTTGYGCACCTTTTCGAACRTCGCCAATTGATTGATGTTATTTATCTATCTACGWGATAAGGTGCAATGATACAATTTACAGTCTTGAAAGGTTTAATGCAGTTTGGAAACATTGCGCGACGTTTTGCATGAAAACTGATTATAATCTTGTTTTAACTTTGTTTTTTGGCTTAATTTAAGGAGGATCGAAGATTTTTTCTTACTGACTGATCAAATGTACTTTCAGTTAAAACCATTAAATCTTTTTGTCTTCAAAATTTTTCTTTTACTAATTTCCGCAGCGCAATAACGCTAACGCTTTGCACTGATGAAGTAAATTAACTAGAATCTGGGGAAAACACATCAATGTTTGTGTGGATATGTCGTAGATAAAACTGTAATCATGTATGGCTGAACGCGTCACAACAAGCTTTTTTACCCATTATCACTTAATCACATATAAGAAAGACGGGTACTTATGTGGATTTGATGGGAAACTCTATAAATAATACGTGCAAGTTGGCGAAATGGGAAATAGGTAGTTGGGCGATCAAAGACTACTACATGGCCCCGTAAAGCCTCCTATCCAAACCCGCGTTTCCCACTAATTTAAAAAATAAATCGCATTCCAATTGAACTTGGGGAATAATAATAACAAAGAACTATGAACTATTTAATAAGAAACACAATTGAAACATGATTTCACAACACTGTGCTGAGCGTCTAAGGAGTAATTTACTCCTTGGACTAAGCACTAAGGTTTACTCCGAGTAAACCATTAAATGTACGCCAACCAGTAAAATACGTATGTGAGTGTGCATATGTGTTTTTAATATTTCAGCTGTTTGTGGAAAACCCAACTTTTTATCGGTTCAGAGAACAATAAATCAATTAGTCAGCGAGCTGATAATATGTTCTATTTCATTTTTTATCAGGGATTTATTATCATTATCATTGAAAATAACGCGAAAACATCGCAGAAAACGGAAAGAGTTTTCTCGGACTTGATCAATTTTGTCAGCATATCGGCAATAATATGATGTGACGTGCAGATGATGCAGAAGAAAAATTAACGTTAATCAACTATGAATTTTATTGTAAAATTGTTGTGGCAAAAATACGGACTGCTAATAAGTGCAAATAACAGCAAATTAATTAACATATTTGAAACCACTTAGTACGAAGCGTTAGTTAATGGACCCTCGTTTTTTAAAGTCAAGGTACAAACGTAAGTTTTACCTTAGCAGGAACGTACCAGAACAGTACGAGAAAATCGACGTTTTAAAATGCAATTTATTGAAAATCTACTCGAATTTAATAATTAATATTAGAATCAATCGACAACTTACACTTAATTGACTAAACAAGGTCTGCTTATCAACTCTTGATGGAGTTCCATATGGTTCGTATGACAGATAGATATAATAAAAATAGATGTAAATAAATCTAAGAGGCAAAATAATATATCCTGGGTTCAAATAAGGGCGATAAGATTCACATTATTTTAACATTCTGAGTACTTTTGGTCGTTTTCCTCCACATATTTTCAATTTGGATTTCTTCAGGATGGCCGTTGTAATGTAGGATCAGTTAGTAAAGTGTAAAAAAATCCTTTTTTTCTAAAACAATTCTAATTTTGTTATTGTTGGAATTGTTTAATGCAATTTATTAATTGCGTATTTCTTTATCGTTTATTTTGTCACTTCTTATCGGGTTTGTTCTCTTCTGGTTAATAATTGAATTTTCTGGAATTTGGATTAATTTTTTAATTTTGATAAATCGTTAACTTGAACAGAGTTTTTATTTTCCGTTACTTCCCGAATACTTGTACACGTGGCATAACGTGTACGAGCAGAAGAAGTGTTCAGAATTTCTCCAATCTGAAACGCGGAATCAGTGTGGTTTAAGATTAATTTTATATTTATATTTTTTGGGAAGACATGGTCTTCTTTATGTCTAATTGGATTTAAAACTTGCAAATTTATTTCTTATTTTAATATTTTGAGCAACTTCTTTTTTATAAAGCGTTTTTCCCGGTCGATTCGTTTTCCGTCTTGTCTAGTTTTATTTCTTTTATTGCATTGAGTCTGTCCTCGATTTGTCTAATGTGAGAGGCAGTTAAAATTCTATAAGCCTAAATAAATATTGAAGCAGTTGTTTCGGTTTATCTGTTTTATGGTTCAATCTTCCTCCGAATACCTATTGTAGTATAGCTACTGAAGCGCTCGTCAGGTGGAAAAATCAAGTAGGTATCGACAAAGCAGTAAAACTTGGTTCTCAAATGATTTGCCAACATTATGGGAAGAAAAGTTTGGTGAATCAAAAATCTCCAGAAATGCAGCTGTTAATTGGCCTCCAACATGTTTTGATTTAGCTTCACTAGATTTATTTTTCTTGTTCGTTAGGCTAAGAGGAAAGGCCTTGAAGGAATGTTTGCGTCAAGCATTGATAAATATTGAACGCTTCATTTCTGAGAACTAATCACCATTGCAATACCGTTTTAGCGAAGCTAAAAAAATGTATCGTGTAACTTTTTTCGGTCTAAACCACATATTTCCCTATACGTTTTCGTACTTTCCCATTCGGGTGTCCATTCGCCTGCAATCCATAATTTTAAAATTATTTAAAACCACGTATGATTGAACTTTGATCTAAGGTAATTTTATCCATATATTTGACTACTTCAATGGCCAATAACAGTTTTATTTCTTGCAGGTTTTCCATTCTAAACTGCTTCATTAAATAATCTTTAAATGCATTTTTGTATTGTGTCCATCAAGAAAGCATCGATTTTCAGTTAACCCACCCATCAGTTGATGGAGGAACTTTTAAAWTTATGTTGATTTAATACGAAATTAATGTATCTCTAACTTTCTGACTCTTTAAAACCTTATATTGRTTTATTTACTCTACATACTTTAGTTTGCTCATTCTTGATCATTCATCCGGTATTTTCATATAGATTTCCTCCTTTAAAATCCCATTGAGTTTTAACATCTAGTTGATGTAATAGTAAATTGTATTATTTAGCTGAAACTGTTATAAATAAAGCTGAATATGAAAATGCGGGCTCCTGGAGCAAAAGTGTCTTCACCAACCTCGATTTATATGTGTGCATGTCCAAAAGCAAAATTTTTAATAATAAACCATTTACAGTCAGACATATTTTTGCCAAAATTGCTCTCTAGTAACAATCAAGTGTTATTAAATGATTTTAATGTGCTTTTTATTGCAACACAGTTCGAATGGTGTTTTATTGTTCTAGTGATTTTCTGGGTGTTTGATTTATTAAGTAGGTGGCAATTCAAACTTCTCCRAAAGCCCCAAAATATTTATCTAACTTTTACCATAAATTATTGATGGGTTGTTTTCCGTAATCGACWWGTTCCTTCGCTTCGCCACTGATTTTTAACGGTTAAATGAAAGGTTACACCCCTTTGAACACATTTAAACTATATACTCGCTRATTATTACAATACACTTAGTAATTTTAAATTAAACKGTGTTTCACTTTTTGGCAAAAAATCTTGAAACATTTTTAAAACTTGACTGCGGAATTATGAGCGCCATGAAACAGTTTTTTCCTGTTAACATCGATCTTTGCCCGGAAAATTCTGGTCCATCCTCTCCGATAGCCGAACACGAGGTGGACGTTTGAATGAAGGCTTAWTTTGTTTTTCTAAATAAAAATGAAAGTTTTGCATTGCTCTTAAATATTTTATTTCATTTTAAAAACATAACGCTCTTATTGAAAAACTCTTTACGCCAAGCGAACAGCAATTTAGCTGTTTTATATAATTTAAAAGTCTGAATAATATTCAAAAAGTCAAACAAAACAGGTAAATCAGTCTCACTTAGGAATTCATATCAGGGCACAAGAAATAAGTTTTTTTAAAAACCCCACATAAGATTTAGTTTTTAATTGATATTATTGATATTMTTGATATAATTGATATTGATATAACATTGTTTCTAGGAAGCATTATCTCGAGTGCTCACTTGACAATGTAAAATTAGGCAACATTTTGGTTCGGTTTCGGAAATACATATCTACAACTGGCAAATATTACAGAAAACGTTTTGTGCAAATAAATCGAAAACTAACGGTTGCCAAAAAAAATATTACTAACGTTTTATTAGTTTTAGGTTCCTATGCATTGGTATTAAATTTAATTAAATTTTTGGGGTTTTTTTAGTTCTTTTATATGCATATTTTCTCAATGATTTCCCGCATGTTAACATTTGCCGACGTTTTGGGCCAAAAAATCAATCACCAAGTGAGAGTAGCATGATTAACACTAAAACTGCATTGACAATGCACAAGTAACAGGTAGAAAATAAAATGAATTTTTTCAAGCAACTTAATCAAAAATATTTTTATTTCCCTGTTTTTTTGAGACTTTGGAGTTTCGGACTCTGGCAAGAACTTTGCTGCTTTATGGATCGCTTAACAATCGAATTAAAGGGAGAAAAACTGTAACAGTAAAAGACGGTAAAAACGAAGAAAACTTATTTTATTAATTGCCTTGTTTGCAAAACTACCTAAGCATTTCAGTGGCATTATTTTTCAGAACCGTATTTTGTAGAGGATATTTGCATTTTAAAAA